GGGGCCCACACAACCCAGGAGGACTTCCTGCCAAGAGGCTCCATCCCTGATTTACCTGCTCGTCCCCCACCACAGCCTCAGAACACGGCTTTTTAGAGAAGAGTGGCTGCCAGAGGGCAGAAGGGCAGTTTTGGGGAGACTTGGGAGAGACCAGGGCCACAGGAAGCTGCTTCCCCTGGAGTCTGAAAGGAGGTGGTGGCGGTGGCTGGGCCCAGCCTTTCCAGCAGTTGCAGTAAGTGGGTGAAGGTGACAGCGAGTGCCAGGCTCTCCAGGTAGACGCTACGTGACTCCTGGCACGTTGAGAGTCTGTGCGCGCGAGCGTGTGTTTCCTGGGCGACCAGCTGAGCCAGGGACAAGGAGAGGACAGGAGTGTGACAGGAATGCAAGGGAGGGAGGCGGGGGTGCTGTTGGCTGGCTGGCCTCTCACATGCCACTTCCGTTGGCCGCCAGCACCCTTCAGCCTGCTTGGCCTGGCCCCCTTGCCCCAGTGGGGGTACTGCATTTCTCTCCCCGGCAGCCCTGTCAGTTTCCCCTTGCTCTAAGTGGGGGCTGGGGGTGCCTGGCTGATGAGCCTGGGCCCCTCCATCTACTGGAGGCAGGAGGTAGCAAGTGGCCAAGGTTGTGCGGGGGAAGGTCAGCTCTCGCCAGCATGTGCCAAGGTGCTGGTGACTGCGAACTGATGAGAGCCATCTATGCTGGGGGCCTCCAGGGGCTCATTTTTTTCCAGGCATTCAGCCCAGGCAGGCTGTTAGCTGCCCTCCTGGGTGGGCAGAGAAGGGAGCCAGAGCCTGACCTGCTTTCAGTTTGAGAGAGTTGTGTGACTGTGGGCTCCAACGGCAGGGACTGTCCCCCAGTGATGCTATGGGCACTGGTGGGGGTGACCGGGTGGTGGGAACGTACCTTCCTGGGGTCTGTGCTTCTGGCCAAAAGCTGAATGCTGTGCATGGGGACACTTTGTTCTGTCACACCCTCACTCCTATTTCCCCCAGGCAACCTGTTTTCTATGAGTGACTGGGAGAGGCAGGCTAGGGCCTCTTGCACTCTTGAGGGCAGTTCTGGCTGGTGGAGGACCTCAGGTGCCCGGAGGAAAGTTGTAGGAGCCAGGGGAAACACTACCCCACCTCTCTGACCAGGAAAGTGCCCCCTCTTCTCAGGCAGTGACCCAGCCGGAGCTCTGGTAACCCAGGGCCCCTCTTCTTTCTTGATGCCGTGGTCAGCACTGGGTGGGCCTGGTGGGGGAGGTGAAGGCCCCATTGTGGCTTCCCTGTACCTTCTGAACAGGTGGAGGTGGCACTTGGTGCCGGCCTCTCCTGAGCAGGCCAGCACCAGCTGACCTACATGCACCTGGAAAGCTCTGGCTTTGACTGGGGCAGGTGATGGCACCCCGAGCAGGGCTGAGCTGCCATTGGGCCCCTGGGCTCCTGGCGGTCGGGTCGCTTAGATGCAGGGTGGCCCCTGGTGGGTGGGGACACAGCCATAAGGCTGTTGGGTGTGGAGTGACCGGGGTGGGCCATGGCTGGAGGAGGCCTGTGGGAAGCTGGGGTGGTGGGAGCCAAGCAGCCGAGCTGAGCTGGCAGCTGATGAAGGCCTCAGCGCATCACTGGCTGGTCCAACACCAAAACCTTCAAAGCATTTGCCTTTCTGGCAGGGCCTGGAGCAGAGCTGCGGCCGGGCCGGGGAGAGGCCTCAGCGCGCAGGGGAATAGAAGCTCTAGATCTACATCCAGAGGCGATTTTCCCAGGCTCCTTCCTCCCACACAGGGGCTCCCTCCCTTGGTTCTGGAGCCGGATCAGGCCCTTCCCGCCAAGTCCTCATGGCTGCACAACTCAGCCCCGGGCTGGGCTGCTCCTGTCTGGGGAGCAAAAATCCAGGGCAGAACCCAGCATAGACAAAGGCTCATTAGCTGCAGCCCAAGTCCCCTCCCGCCCAGCATGGCTTCCAGTCCACCAGCTGCCAGGCTGGGCTGTTGAGCTGGGAGGCCTGAAACGGCCCAAGTTCTGTGCGCCCCTGGTCAGGTCTAATCCATCTTGGTGCAGAGGCTTCGGGACTGGGAACAAGAGAGCAAACTGCACCAGGACTGCAGGTCACTGGTGACGGGCTGCCCCTCGTACTGGGTGGGGAAGCCTGGAGGGAGTCTCTCCTAGCTGGGCCCCATCTCCCCCCGCCTGTGGACTCCACTTCCTCCCCCACTCAACCTTTAACTAGACTTGCTGACAGGAACAAAATGAACTGGGGTGTGCTTCACCTCTTTTCATTTCCTTTGCCCTCCCTCTGGAAGTGGTTTTAATGAGCAGTGAAATGGCTAAAAGGCAATCAGGAGGAGTAAAGCGCCGGATAATTAAATTGTCTTCCCTTTCCCAGTGGAACCATAGTACCCGGGCCAGGCTGCCCACGGGGCCGGCGGTGGGGGGTGGTGTTTCAGTGCAGGGCAGAGATCTGGCTCCATGGGACCCAGGCCTCCCCTCCTGCCTGCCCCCTCCCAGGGTCCTGGAGCATCCAGATGGAGAGGGGCAACGCCTTGGTGGTGCTGCGCAGCCTGCTCTGGCCGGGCCTCACCTTCTTCCACGCTCCCCGCACCAAGAACTGTGGCTATATCTACGTGGGCACCGGCGAGAAGAACATAGACCTCCCCTTCATGCTGTAGGAAGGGGGCCAGATGGGCCCGTGTAGGAAGCATCTACAATTTACTTTCATAAATGGCTGTGAACTTGGTCTGTTTGTCCTGTCCTGCTGCTTCTCCACACCTCTGCCTCCATCTGGTGTCCAGGCTCTTAGGACAGGCCGCCATGCCGGGAGAGCCAGCCCTAGAGCAAGCGGTGGAACGGCAATGTGCTCCTGAGAGAGATGGCAGTGGGTGGAAAGGGCTGGGGGAGGAGGGGACAGCTGGGAGTCCTCTGAGGAAGGCAACCCAACTCACCTCCTCACAGCCCTCGAGCCAAGGGCTGACGGCTGTCAACACAGGGCATGGGAACCCACTTGGCCCGGAAACGTCCTCTGGTGGCATTCATGCGGCCTATCACAAGCTGAGTGACTCAGTGCTCAAGAACTGGCTAGAAATGGGCTCAAGCCCCCTGCACTTCTCAGGCAGTAAGTACACACCCAGCAGCAGAGTCCATGAACCTGGTTTATGACATTCTTTTGGGGAGAGCTCCTATGCCCCAGCACAGGGTGCTGCCCAAGGCAGTCATGAGACCATAGCTGCTGCTCAGGGACCCAACCACCTTCCCAGTGCTGCTGTCAGGCAGGCTGAGGGCACTGAAGTCGGTCCCACTGCCTCCTGCATCTGCCACGCCTGCTGGAGGAGCTGGGCTGCTGTGGTGCGACAGGGCCGGAGTGTGGGAGCTCTGGTCACATTTGCAGGGAGCCCAGTCAGTGATATAACACCAGAGGCCTTCCTGAGTAGGAGACGTTGTCTTTCAGGAGGGGTGACCCCACAGCCATACGCACTTTGTTCCAGCGGTGGCCTTTATTATAGATGGGCTTGACAGAGCGGGGAGACCAGCGGGTCAGGTACCTGTGGAGGGAGAGCAGTGATGTGGCTGGGAGAGATGGGGGCCCATGCTGGAGCTGGGAGGGTGGGTCATGTCTCCTCGGGCCAAAGCCTTTCACCAGTTTCCCTTCTCGTGGAGCAGGGACTTTTCCTGGGAGCAACGGCTAAGTGTGCCGTAAACAGATGGGCTGGGCTCCTGCTGCCGCAAGCGTGTGTGGCCAGGGTCAGGCAGCCCAGGGCCATGCGCTCCCTTGATCTTTATGAGTTGTCAATTTTTGTGTGTATACTTGCTGGGGGAGGAGGCGGAGAAAGAGGCTGTCCAGAAAGCAGATCATTCCTCTCTGGCCTCAGTCATGGGGAGAGGAGAGGCTGATGTAAGGCCTGGAGAGATCCGTAAGGCCTGGAGAGATCCTTCCCTCTTCCCTACTTGGCTTACTCTGCCACTCCAGCCTTCCAGGAGCTCCCCTGGGTGGCCATCACTGATGCAGGACCCCTGCCCCTCACCCTCATAATGGGAGCCAAGGGTGAGGGCCTGTGGTACAGACCTAGCCCGGGAAGGTTCACGTAAGCAGGAGGGGTATGAGGAAAGATGGCTGCCGCCCACAGTCCTTTGGCCTCCTTTGGGGATGGCCAGGGCCCTGACAGTTCCCGGAAAAGTGGCTCATGCCGGCTGTGACTGGGGTTTACTCCATCCAGAATGAAACTTGGATCCAGTCCAGAGAGGCCCACCCTTCGTCCTGAAAGCTCAGCCATGGCAAAGCCAGGCTCCTTCCCGGCCTCCACTCTAGGCTGGGGTTCAACCCAGCTGCCGCTAGAGACCCTCACATGAAAAATTTTATCATTTAAAAAATTAAACACCTTGGTTGAGAATTTTTAGATAAAACTGAAAAAAAAAAAAAAAAAAAAGACTACTGATTCACACATTTCAACTGAGCTCCCCTTCTCTGGACCTTGGTTTCCTGCTCTTAGCCCTGTGCAAAGGGAACAGCTCTGAAGAAAGTAAAAAGCTGTGGGAAGTGCTGCCCTACACTCCAAGTGTGACGTGGACAGCAGGGGTGGGGAGGTGGGATGGACACATGATTCTCTACATGTAACATCAATGTCAATGCCCCCGGCAGGAAGGCCTCTGTGCACTGGGTGGGGCCTACGGCTGGCTTTTCTCTGGTTGGTGGTGCTGGGACAACAGAAGCGTAATGGTTAAGGGAGGGGAACACCTGGCAGGTCCCGGAGTCAGCATCTCCGTTTTCAGAGGGAGTGGGGAGGAAGAAATGGGAGTGTGGGAGCAGGCTCCCTAAAAGGAATGTGCAATGAGATTACAGACCCCGGGAGGGCCTGAGGCTGACCAGCTTGTCCAGAGCTGCTGCCCTCAAGCCATTTTCCCCCTGCCCTGGAGAAAGTGGAGGGATGCTGGGCTTCAGCTAGCCCCGGGCCTGATGCCTGTGCCACATGGAATAGCTGCTGACGGCTGGGGGTGGGGGGTGGGGGGCGGCGGCGGCGGCGGCGCAGCTACGTGGCCTGAGTGGCCTTCAGTTAGCTCTCTGGGGAACACTCCACCTCTAGGAAAAACCAAGGTTCCTTCGTACCTCTCCTGAAGGGGCAGGAGGAGGAGGAAGTGTGGCTCCTTAGGGCCCAGCAGGGCCTGGGCCAGTCCGAGGCAGCTCAAGGCCCTCTGGATGGAATCATCAAGTCCCTTGTTGCAAGAGAATCACGCTCTTCCTAGCCAGGACTCCCCCTCCCCCTAGAGTGGCCTTTTGCAACCCAAGAGCCCCCACACATCATCAATCCTGTGTCACGTTAAAGGACACCGGATATATGGGAGGGAGCCTGGCCTTGCTTCAAAGGCCTGAGGGCAGGATGGATTGTGTCCTTAGGCAGGCTGCTGTCTCTTTGCAAGTCAGACAGGAGGGTGGGCTCAACTCCCAAATGGTCCAGAACACAAGTGGGAAAGACAGGAAGAGGTTAATATGTCTTGCCCCACCAGGGTTGCTGGCAGCTGGCCCAGCTAGCCATGTGGGAGGCACAGGTGGAGATGGGCATGAGGCCAGGGCGCTGCCAAGGTGTCAGTGAAGACCCAGCTCTGGCCCTGCGCCCCCAGTCCAGCCACCCAGAGCTGAAGTCACCTGGCCTCCCACCCTCCGCGGCTGCATTCTGTCGGGGATCAGCCTTGGAGGCTGGCTGTGGATGGGTGTCTTGCTTTGCTTCAACCATCTTTGGTCTCCTCCAGAGAGCACTTACAGTAGCAGCTGGACAGACTGAAGAGGGAGGGGCGTTGACAGGGCAAACAAAAAGAAAAGACCAGAATCGATTTTCTAGACCTGGATCTACTCTCGAGCAGGGGCTACTGCAGATCTGGGAGGACGTGAGTGTAGTTGTGTCAGAGAAAGGGGAGGGAGCTCACCATAGAATGGCTGTTTTGAGGGCGAGACAGGAATCTGCTCCTACACCAGAGGGGGCCCCCCTGCCTCAGCTGGAAGGCAGACTGACTGATTCCAGGGTCTGGGGGTGTTCCTCTGTTCTACAAAAGCCCAGAACCTCCCAGTCTGCCCTGGGCAACTATCCAGGTTAATTGCATGACCCTAGGGAGCGACATGGAGGCTGAAGTTCCACAGTGCACAACGGGCACAGCGATACACAGTGGCTGCACCCCAAAGAGCCCTCCCCTTTCTCAGGCCTCACTCTGCCCTTTAATAACCCCAGTGCTGGGATACTGAGAAGTTTGTAGAAGTGCTCTGACATTCCCATAGCAACCCAGTATGATGTCATAAACAGGGGATTAGCACATTCTAATGCCCAACCGGCAGACCTTCTTACCCTCCCTGCCCCTGTGCGAAGTGCCCAGCTGGGATGGGAAGAGGAGCGAGGCCGAGGCCAGCAGGGGAGGCCACAGAAGTGTACCCAGGATCCCCCGCAGCAGTGCTGGGGCTGAAGGGGGTGGATGCTCACGCGAGGAGGGATGGAATAGACAGCCAAGGGAGCACTCTAGCCTTCCTGAGCTGTGGGATGACCTCCAGGAAATGGCATCCCCCATGGACAGAGTACAGTGAGAGCCGAGGGCCTGCAAGGTGCTCCGGGGCGTCACGCCCGGCTTTGCTTACCGGTTGAGTTGGGGTTTGCTCTTCGGAACAAATCCTTCAGGAAGCCGAGGCCTGTGATTTGGGAACAGACCTGAGTGGAGACGAGAGCACATGTGGGATGGTCCTGCAGCTCCCTCTGCAGTTCTCGGGGCAGGAAGGAAAGCCCAAGGGCGTGTGGGAGGTTGGCACTGGGGGGTGAGTTCAGCAAAGACTCTGGATGTCCCTATCTCTTCCAAGAGGGGCTGGCCCAGGAGGCAGCCGGCAAGGGGTGGGATGGGGGGATGGCACCCATAGCCCTCTGCCCGCCTCTTTGCCCCGAGAGGTCCCTCTACCTGCTCGGTGTGCCATCTTCACACACTCCTCAATCTTGCGATGCTCTTCCAGGCACAGGCCTGTGATCCTCCGAGGTAGCATGCCCCCGCAGGGCCGGATGAACTGACTGAGCAGCAGAACATCCTAGGTGAAACGGAAAACTGTAGTCAGCCAGCCGGCAGGCGCTGGATACGGCGCATCAGGGCCTCGCGGACTACACCGGAGGCCGTCCTACCCCAGAACCCGAAGGGGCTGATGCCCCCCTGGGGAACCCACCAGAGACCACCCCCTCCACACAGAGCCTTTGCATACTGGTCTGCCTTTACCCTAACACAACTGCAATCCCAAGGTGGTAAGATTTCCCAACCCCAGGGGCTTCTAGCACCTCAATGAGAATCTCTGAGAGATTAGAGAACAGACACTCCTCAAGAAGTGTTCCTCTTTGGAGCCTAGGCAGCATCTCTCCGGGTAATGAAAGGTCTGTTAGTCTCCTTGGGTGAGGTAGAGGTGTGTCATAGATTTCCACTCAAGGGGGAGAAACCAGCACGTCTCTACCCCTACAGCCTATAGGCTACAGGCCGGAACACGCACACACAGACCCGCCAGCTCAGTTCCCCTACAAGCGCGAGGCAGCACAAGAGCTGGGGGGGAAAGGATCGGTGGTGAAGTTAAAGAGCCACATCTCTGAAGGCCCCTGTGGCCAGCTGTGAATGGATTCTTGGGCTTCCTCTGGACCATCAGACTACTTTGGACAAGGCAAGGACACAAGGAGAAACAGTCAAAATCAAACCAAGAGACCACTTCCCCCTCCACCTTTCATTGGGTGGCTGAGGGGGTTAATAAAAGCCACTGCTTCTCCGAGGAGATGGGGGCCCGCCCACCGAGGGGCCCGCCGTGCCCGACTTCACAGGTCTGTCCCACAAACCGATATGCTGCCCTGGCAGGCGCCTTGCTGTATAGCCACAGATTTGTTTTAATCACTGGACAGCTCCTGAGGGACCCGGGCCCCCAATTCCCACCCCTGTAATCTTTAGAATCTGGTGAAAAGAACTTGGACTGGATTATCCAGGACTAATAAACTGGGCCCGCAGCCCCAGCCCCCCAGCGGAGGCTGCCAAGCAAGCTGACAGCTTTGTGTGGCTCAGGCTAATGGTGTCCTGAGTGGGAAGGGGTAAAAGGAAAACAACTTTAGCCTTTACCTCGGAGGGGATTGGATTTCGTCTGCTGGATAAACAGAGCCAAGTCCATTTCCTGGAAATGGCTGGTGGAAAGAGTGCCCCACGGTGGTTAGGCAGGTGTGGACTTCACTGCCCCATCTTCAGCTGGGATTCTAAGTACAACCACGACCCCACTACCTTCTACGTTACAAGAAGCTGTGAACACTGCTCTGTGGTCTGCAGGTTTCCTATTACTCTGGGCGGCCATGAGCAGAAGGGCCAGGAGCGGAGTGGAAGGAGCGCCCCCCTCCCCGCTGGGTGGCCCGGAGCCAAGGCTCCCAGCCCTGGAGATTAGTTGGGTCATTCTGTTCGGATCCCATGGGCATGTGGCCTCTCCTGCTCTCACCACCTGACCGGGATCCGTGCCCTTAGCCATCCCATTGCACGGAGCGGTACAGCCACAACTTGCAGGTCAAATTGGTCCAGAGCCTGCATCACCTGAAACCTAAAAATAGGGTGCTTAATGTCACCAACGGAACCCTGAAGGACAAGTATGGATTTCTCCAGGGCTGCGTCCTGCCCCCAAGCCCACCCTGTTTCTAGAAACGATGGCCAGTGGTCGTCAGGATAGTAGGCTCTGCCTGGGTTTTGTACCCCAGTTTATGGTCTGGCTCTGATACTAGCTGGGGGACCTGAGGCAAGTTCATCAACTTTTCCATGCCTCGATGTTCCTTGTCTGGAAACCAAGGACAAAAAAAGGAACTACTTCATAGGGCTATTGTGAAAACCAAGCGAAGGAAGGCCTGGCACACCCCAGGGCCTGACCTGGAGCCTGCATGCAGTGGGGGTCGCCCTTTCTTATTCAGCACCATCATCTTTCCGTGGAGAGAATGGCTCTCGAGGAGCTGGAGCCACCAGGGGTCTCTGCAGCTCCAGTACAGACGGAGACAGTAATGTGTCCCCAGATCACAGTGAGGACTCCCTGAATACACCCTCCCTAAAAGAGGAGGAAAGTCAAATCCAGAGCCTGATTCCATCTGTTGGGAACACACAGAGTTACAGGGCCCTGGTGGTCTGAACTGCATGCAACCAGCCCATGACCTAAATTAGTGACTCTTCAACCCTGACGACACTGGAGAATCACCTGGGGAGCTTTCAAAACTAACCATGGCCAGGCTCCACCCAGACCAAATGCAGTCCACGTCTGCGGGTGGGGCCCGAGCATGATTGTAAAGCTCCCTGGGGCAGCCAGGGTTGAGAGCCGCCGTCTTTGGCAGCAAAACGAGATGCAGCAGTGGCTGGGGCTGGGGCTGCCGCTGAAGCGAACCAGCGACCACGGCCCCTACGGCATGCAGAGCTGGGGTCTGCGCACGGCTCAGCTCACCTCGTAGCCATACTTGTGCTTCAGGTTCCACCGGCAGATGGGGCACTGGCCAGAGGGGTTAGGGGGGTTTGGGCTTTCCTTGGGAGTCCCTGTTAACTGGCCTTCAATCTAGGAGGAAGAGAAAGAGAGCCAGTGAGGGAGAGGACATGTGGAGCCTCAGATCCTTGAGCAACCCCCCCAAATGGTGAGATGCCAGGGAAGCTCCTCTCTGGGGGCCTCGTGAGAGTAGCTAATAGGTCTTTCCACCTCAGCAGTGGAGCTGGTTCTGCAGCTGCTGCATACTGGACCTCGGCGGGCCATGGAGATGTGATCTGGTGGCACACGAGACTCGAGGCCAGCAGACAATGCTGGGGGCAAGAGGGAGGGGTTGGTTCTGCCAGCCGAATGCTACCTTTTCTTCACTGAAACAAAACACCAGAACATTATGCTTCCCGCTCTGGGAAAAAGTGATACACGCACACGGTAAAAAGTTTCAAACTGTGCAGGGGTACACAGTTAAAAGGAAGTCTCCCTCCCACCCCACATATTGTATCCTTCTCAGACGAAACTGCCCTTCAGCTTCATCCAACAGAGGCAAGTCGGCTGGCCCTTCTCAACCAGGTGCCCCAGGGGACACTGGACAATGTCGGAGACATTTCTGACTGTAACAGCTGGGGCCTGGGGTGCTCGGGACATCTAGCCGGGAAGCTGGTAACCATGCTGCCAGGTCCAGGACAACCCCCATGACAAAGTCCTAGCCAGCCCCAAATGCCACCAGCGCTGAGGCAGAGAGCCCGCTCTGTGCCTTTACAAGCGGGGACCATGTGCACTCTTGCTGCCTTCCTCTCTCTTTTCGAAACACACACATGGGAAGATCTATTCCCCTGCCCGCCTCCTTGCTTTTATCATTTTGGATGTCACCTTTCAAATCCTGCTGAGGCCACGTGTGCAGTGACCTCTGCCACTGCTGCTGTATCCTGTGACACAGCCTTGGAATTACCAAGTGCCATAAGCCAATGATCTGGGAGGCGGCTCTAATTACAAGAGGGGGAGTGCAGAAAGCCTTGCTGATTGAGGCCGTGGATTATGAGAGAGAAGTAGGGAGAGGTCTGAGGCTTTGGGAGGGAAGCAATACTGTCTCCTGGGGCAGAAACTGAGAAAAGGGAAAGGGGGCTGTGCAGGGCATTGCTACCTGACTTTCTGCCAAGGCCACTGCAGCCATGCCAGAAACGGGGAAGTGCACTAGGGAAAATGTGGAGGTGCATGCTGGGTCTTGGGAGGGGGTTATGGTGGGCTTAGCAGGGGGCAGGGTGAACATTTATTGACTCCCCTATGCCTGGCTCTGTGCTAATAACGGCTCAAACGTATCACCTCATCGTACCCCTAAGACCTCGTGAGGGAGAATTCATGACCTTATGTTACAGATGAAAAAAGTGAGACCCCAGAAAGTGAGCAATGCCCAGTTAGCTGCGGCGGTGGCTCTCCACGGAGGCACGGATGGGCTTCCCTCCTCCCAATGGGTCTCACGGTGCCATGACGTCTCCATGTTCATTTTGTAAATAGCAGATTGATGCCCCATATGAGAAATACTCCATACTCAAAAGCCAGATCTATTTCTCTCCCCCAGCATGGAGTTCCTCGGGTGAATGCTTGTTTTGGCTTTGAATAAGGGAACCAAAAGAGGAGCCCAAAGGGGATGGGGGCCCCCTAAAAAGAACTGTTTTGAGGCTAAGCAGTGAAAAGTCTGAGGAGTACTCTGGGGAAGACCCAAAGAGAAAACCCTAAGGGCTCATCCTGGGGATAAGACTGCTTTGGGAAGGACCGAGCTTGGCTGGCTGCCAGAGGGGTTAAACCCCTGGCTGACATGGAAGTTATGGAGGCTTCTGGGAGTTCTGTGGAGTGGCTGAGATTACTTGCAAGCATGGAAGGCCGTGTGAAAACGTTGTCTTTTAGGGATTATAGGATAATCTAGGCCCCATGACTCCCCGGGAAAGGGAGGTGAGATGGGCCTGACCAGGGAAAGGGGGGAGTAGGTGGATGAAGAATTGTTCTAGCTTTTTAACCAACGGACAAGCTGGGGTGCTGGCTAGTAAGCCCAGGGCCCAGAGAGTGTCACCTTTTAATGGTATCCCTTAAGGAGTAGCCTGGTCTTTCTAGGCAGGCAAGAAAGGAGCTGAGATCCAGGCTTCTGGCCATGGGTCAACTTACTTGGGCTCTCTACTCTCACCACTGCCTTGGCTTCCCCTTTGGAATACTGATTCATCCCCAGCAAAGGACGTATCAGCAAAGACCTCTGAGACCTTATCATACGAAAGGCCACTTTGATCCAACAATGGATGCCTCAGTCCAGGCACAATGATTGTTCCTGATTCAACCACATGACAGCACAGCTTGAAAAACGTTAAGACTCTGGATTTATGGTGACAGAGGGAGCTGCCCCTGATGCCAGGAGTCCAGTTTGGGCTGGCCTCCCTTCCTCCCTCCCCCTCTCCCAGGCAGCTCTAAGCGTTAAAGAGGTTGTAAGTGGCCAATTCGATGATACTTACTATAGTCGTCTTGCCTTCTTGGATCTCCACCACTACAGAGATAAAGGGGAAAAATCAGGTCAGCCATTTAATAAGGAACAGGGAGTTTCAAATAACAGCTCAAATTCTACAAATGCAGAAAATCGGAGCCTTCGGTCAGCACTCTCCCACGGTCCCCACCTGGGAAAGAAAGCGTACAGCGTTCATCTCCGAGTGTCAAGGTTCTCTGCCCTCGAGGCTGGGTCGGGGCAAGCCCAGATGCCCAGGTAATACCATCTCTCTGGGATTAAGGGTCTGCACACTGTTTTCCTTTCTAAGCCGAGATTCAGATTCATCCTGGTCCTAAACCAAGGGAATTGGTAAGATCCGGCCCTTCCGTGGCTGGCAGTAATGACCTCAGAGTTGGGCTGGGTGGGGGCGGAAGCATCTAAAAGACCTTCAGAAGTACCTATTGCGCGTGTCCTTTCATGACGAGAATCGGACAAACGAGGCTTCTGACCCTGAAATACGTGCAGTCTCCGACACATGCCTGAATCAGGACTGTGCTCCAGAGGCCCCAGGCCAGTTAAGGGGTAAGACAAGCTCACTCGCACAAGTTGGCTAGGGAAGCCGTGCTAAAGCTCTGAGAGGAAGCTGTGAGGGTTAAATCCTCAGCCATTCTCCACACCTTCCCTGCAGGGTTGCACTGAGCTCTGTCCCTGGGAGCGAGTGGTGACAGGGGTGGCAGACAGGGGCCTGCAGACGTTGGCCCGGGCTAGTTTTCAGGAAAGCAGGGCAACTACAAACAGAGGGGGGCTCCCTCAGCGCCCTACCCAGGAGAGACCTCAAGGGCAGGATAGTAAAGTCGCACACATCCCTCAGGCTGTATGTATATCCCAGCTTACTCAACCAGGAGGAAGAAGGACAACTTCAAGAATATTCCAAGGAAGAACCAAGCCAATGGCACATGCTTGGAAAATGTAATCAAACAAAGTTCTTAGACAGTCCCCCTTGTTCTCTAGTTTCTTCAGAAAGAGGGAGCTGCTGCGGTCAGTGTGGGAACCGGCACGCAGCAGAGGCTGTCAACACTAGCTCACACCAAGACCACGAAATACTGGTCACTTCTGACTGCTAATCACTGCGACGGAAAACTCGGGTCTGCAGAGCCGGTGGCGAACTTGTCTCATACCAGCATACCAGCACCGTACTGAAATAGCAGCCGGGCTCCCACAATTAGTTTTATTCAGCTTCAGCCGAGGCAAGAAGTAGTACCGCTTAGAAAGAGTCAAAGGTTGGGGGAGGGTAGGGGCCTGGGTGGCTCTGTCAGTAGAGCGTTGGACTCTTGGTTTTGGCTCAGGTCACTATCTCAGGATTGTGAGACCACGCCTGCGCCTCGCTCCCAGTGGTGGGGAATCTGCTTGGGTTTCTCTCTCCTTCTGCCCCTCCCCTCCATGCTTGCTCTCGTTCTCTAGAGAAGTCTTTAAGAAGGAGCCTAAGGTCCTTAGTGTTCAGAATCTAGTGAAAGTTATGGACCTTTTCCTGGAAACACGCTCATGAGCACACACACAATCAGAACTGTGTACCTAAATGGTAACGCTGGTTTCCTCCCAGTGGTGGCAGTACGTGATTTTTCTTTTGTTCTTTATGCCTGCCTGGGTTTTAAAAATAACATGTACAGCTTTTGCAATGAAAAATAAACAGCAAAAAGAGAGAAAGAGAATGAATGTCTAAGAAAAAAGTGAGGCAATTCGAACCCAACTGGAGGCCCTCAGCAGCATCTGTGATCACTGAGCTCTGCGACCAACACCTAATTGGACACAGACTGCCTGGAATTGTCCCCCATTTGTTTTCTGGGCAAGGCCATTCATAAAGCCTCATTACTCCAAAACAACCAACCTGAGAGCCCCTCAGTGTTCCAAGCCCAGATATACACAAAGGAGCCACGAAGGCCAGAAAGGCCCTGAGGCTTTCTCCAGAACACTGCAGTTAACTAATTAATTCAAAGACAAACTAGTTCTCTCCCTGTAAAAGAAAATGCGTCACCTCACACACGGATCTACTTGTTCGGAACAGAGACCAGCCTGAACGGGATGTGGGTGAGACTCAGCCTGGTGCTCAGTCAGGAGGCCAGCACAGCTGCGGGGCCATGGTCCCAGGATATGTCAACGTACCAACACGGGGGCGCAGAAGCCGGCAGAGCCCCGGCTCAGCAGGGCTTCTGGGCACCCCAGGAACTTTGCAAAAACCCAACCTGGGAGAGGGATGGAAGGCAACCAAGTAAGCATCAACAGGTGAGGGCAAAGTTTCTAAGAATTTGGGGAGGGAACAAAAGACGAGACACATTACTGGTACCCCTCTAGCCAGCAGGAGAATGAAGGCCCAAAACACAACGCAGAAAAACATGTGGCTCCCCTCTCCGTGGAGGCACTTGGGTCCTAACCATGAGGTAAACAAATCTAACAAAACACACATCACTCCCGGCAAAGAACCAAACCCTGAAGTCATCCCACTGGCCCCTGGAAAAGAGATCAAAGCCTGTGGCCCGCTCCACTGTTCGCTAGCTCCCCACACAGCAACGCTGAGCCAGTGATTCATCTTTCCCCACGCCCGCCCGTGGGTAAAACAACAGGCAGATGCTTACCTACTACAGACAATCTGTCAAACCAGAAAGAAGGACCTGAGAACAAGACTGAGAGTGATCAGGGCAGTGTCTCAGTGCAGGGGCAGGAGGCCTGGCTGGAACCTCGAGAAACCCCTAGATTTTAAGCCTCTGAAAACAGGAGATAGGAATCAAAATAGTATTGCTTTCAGTGTGCATACAAAAATAGATCAAAACCAAACAGAACCTGAGATCCATTTTGCCCCTGGCCTCCTCACCACTCAAGACAGGAGTAACCATGAAAAACTGTACTAAGACATTTAGGTAGTACCAGACATCTGGTTTAGAAAAAGGGAGAATCGCTCTAGTGTTCTGAGATACAGCTACTATGAAGTAGACGAAGGAAAGACATGAAACTGGAGTTTCTGGGCTAGAGTTAGGGGCAAATTTTCTACGACGGGCACTTCTCTCGCACACATCAAATAATCCATCCCACGTGAGGCAACGTGTTTGCTGAGCACCCAGGGAGAGCACAGCCTGGTCCCACACTGTGGAGAGCTGCAACAGAACAGGAAGACAGTCTCTGCCCTAGAGGAGAAAAGGGAACGAAACCAAGTATGGGAACTTCACTACAATAAAAGTCCATGCCTCGTAAAGAGGCCCTCTGAGTACTTCAGTAAATACTCACTTAGGATGGGGTCCAGGATGACTGAACTGTAACAGTCTAGGGCACACAGTGCTGGGGGGGGGAGACTGCAGTGAACGCAGAAAGACCTCGATGGTCACACAAACACAGACTCAGTGAACTGCAGCAGTATGAAGACCCAACTGTTTGTGAAGGGTAAAGGGGGACCCATGAATGATGTGGAGGGCGCTGCTGCAGGAGTGCCCAGAGACCAAGTCCTTCTTGGAAAAGATCCATGCAAACCAAGTCCCAAGCAGAGTAGGACAGAATGGAGCCACTGATGGCTAAAGGGTAGCACTCACAAGTCCTGGGGGAGAGGCCAAGGAGTGGAGTATCTGTTTGGGACCAGTGACTGCACTTCTGACCCTTGACTACTTTTTTCAAACTCCTTCCCCACTCCCCTGTGTTCATCTTCAATTCTACTACAAGTTCTCTGAGTCTCTCATCACCTACCCCGTTCTTTTCCCTGGACCTCTGAGGGAATCTCTCTCTGCACTAGGCTTCACCGGGCTTTTTCCACTAGAAGGTTCCTCTGGACTATGTCCCTTTTAGTCTTTAAAACCCCAACTCACACACTCCCCTCTCAAAGCTTTTAGCTACAGGGCTGCCAATCCTGTCAGGCGCATCCTTGTCTGAAATGTGAGGTCCTCCAGAAAGCCCTTCAGCTAACTGGAAAAGCCTTTACTCATTTCAACACGCTCTGCACTAGCTTCTCATGGATGATTCCTGTTAATTCAGAGAGTCACATGTGTTTCTGTTTTAAATACATTTCCTTCCCAAGAGCGATAAGGCAGGAATAAGATCTAACACAATCTTTCCCATAAAAAGCACTACACGGTCTTCAGCCAGTGAACTGAGGAGATCTTTCAGATGGGAGAACCACAGAGCAGCCCTCCCTTGGAGCACCACAGCAGTCTTCTGCTTCTGATCTGCATCTGCTTCTGATGCCGCCATTTATTGGCAGGTGATCCCGGGCGGCTACTAAACTCCTCTGGGCCAGATTTCTTCATGCGGAAAAAATGTCAATAATATCTGTCTTTAAAGATTGTTGAGAATATGGAATAGATGTATGTGGAAAGCCTAGCACAGTGCATGCAACAGGCACAGACTAAACCAGGATTTCCATTTTTGTCTGCCTGCACCTCTCCTTGCCTTTGTGTGTCCCTCTGATTGAACTTTTGACTAGGCATTCTCAACAGCAGCATAACTGGCATTTCAGGCCAGGTGGTCCTTTGATGGGGGGGGTGGGGTAGGCATCTTGCACACATCCCTGGGCCTCTACCCACCAGATGCCAGGAGTACCACTTGTGACAACAAAAATGCTTCTAGACGTTTCCAAATGTTCGCAGGGACAAAACTGCCCCCAAACGGAGAACCACTGCTTTAGCCTAACAGTCTCTACAGGCAAGAGCACAGAATGCGGGGCACCTGGGTGGCTCAGTTGGTTGGGTGACTGCCTTTGGCTTAGGTAGTGTTCCTGGAGTCCCAAGATTGAGTCCCGCATCGGGCTTCCTGCTTGGCAGGAAGTCTGCTTCTCCCTCTTCTCATGCTCTCTCTCTCTTTCCCTCCCATTCTCTCTCCCAAATAAATAAATAAAATTAAAAAAAAAAAAAAAAGCACAGAATGCTGGGTGCTCATCATCTGACTAAAATTAAGTAATACTGGGACGCCTGGGTGGCTCAGTTGGTTAAGCAGCTGCCTTCGGCTCAGGTCATGATCCCGGTGTCCTGGGATCGAGTCCCACATCGGGCTCCTTGCTTGGCGGGGAGCCTGCTTCTCCCTCTGCCTCTGCCTGCCACTCTGTCTGCCTGTGCTTGCTCTCTCTCTGACAAATAAATAAAATCTTAAAAAAAAAAAAAAATAAATAAAATAAAATTAAGTAATACTACTTGATACCCTGAAAAGTAGGATGCTTGAATATTTTCAGCAAAACACCCAGCTTCCTGCCCACAACTTTAAATTCTGTGTGTACAATACTGTTTGGGTGTCAAATATACCAGCCGGGACCAGTCAAAATTAACTACATATGTAATATTTTACGCCTTACACATAGCAGGTAGTATATTAAGACAAAGTTTTTTTCATTTAAAGGCTCTGAAGACAGGTGGTTCTCAAGCAGAATAAAGAATACAGTAGTGCCTCCACGTAAGATCACATCAATTCAATTATTTAGCTTTTAGGTCTGACAGCAAGTAACAGAAGAGTTACCAACCCAGGTATTTATGGAGAGAGGTTCCAAGATCTATCTGATTATAGAGTCCATCATTTCACAAAATCTCCAACTGAAAAAGTTCTAACCTCAAATACTCTTTTGAAAACAAACAGACAAAAAACTATTCCTCTTGCCCATCCTCTGGGAACATAGCGAAGAATTGTTTTCAACTCTGAATTTCACAATGGATATGTAAATTACAGCTACTGGAGCCTGACACTTCGTAGAGACCCTCAAAAATGTTATAGGTATATGCTTATTTTGCAGCAAGGTACAGATGAACCATCTTACCATGTCCTTCCTATTATCAGCATGATTTTTTTTTTTGGTATCTTTCTTTATTAGTGGATTAGTTTATCTAATATTAACCAGGCAGTATCTCGATTTTGTTGTTCTTTCTAGTATACACTAGATTCTAGTATACACTTTCTAGTATACACTAGATTCCATCTAAATTCTTCCAACATACCTATTTCCATTTCTTCATGAAATACCTCTTTGATTTCCCCAAGCTGGGACCCAGATCTCACTTCCCCTGTATCTGCTGGATGGAGGCCAAGTCCAGCTGGTTGTGGCTGGGCCTACCAGGAGCCCTGTCTGCCACTGCTGTTTGAAAGCTAAAACAGCTTTCTTTCTGAGACAAATCCAATGGACTCCTCATTAGGTTCTTCTTTTTGGACTTTTCTGCTTCCTCTGACAACAATGATCATTCTTCTCCTCTTGGCACCTCTCAGCTTTAAAGGATACATTGGGCAATACTATGCCAGAATCTTAAAAACAAACATACCGATGTCACTTCTTTTGCACATCACTCATCTATTTTGGCTTCTAGCAGTGCACAAAGGAAGGCTATGTCCCCACATAATTTTTCACTCCTTGCCAGATTTCATCCTCTTATATGCCTGTTCAAGACACAATCCCTTCATTAAAACTTCCAACTGGGTTTCTGTTTCTGGTAACCAAATCTCCCTGTAGTTAATCATGTAAATACCTCACTTGCATTTATTGGAGCGTATGCATGTCACTTCATTAGAACCTTACTTCTCAGGAAAAGGGCTGTATTTTCTCTTTTTCCAGGATCCTCTGACAGTCAGAAGTACAGTACTTGGCCTTCAGTAAGCTCCCAGTTCAAGGCTAGAATCAGGCTGCCTTTCCAGGCTTATGACTAATGAAAAGGAGAACCACTGTCCAGCATCTGTCGCTGCTTCCCCTTAGCTTCTATCTGGGAGACTAGCGGCACGGGCAGAAAAAGCCGCCATCAGAGCACAGCATTTTCAAATGAGAAACTAGAAACGGAGGCCCTGGGGAGGATAGCTACACGTCCTTCCCTCATGGTCCAGGTGTGTTTGTTTGTTTGTTTAACAAGGGAGGAGGCAGCTAAGAGAATACGGAAAGCAAAACTAAAACACGCATACCTCTACCGAAAGCTTTCTGAATCCCGGGGCAGGTTTCTTCCTGCTCCTGCTAACTAAGCAGGGCTTCCCCATCCTTCCCCGCCCCCACCAGGGAGAACACTCCCGAGCGTCAAGATACTAACATCAAGGTCTGGAAAGTGCTTTCAAGCACCCCCGGCGCGCTAGCCTCTACCGCGTTTCAGAACCGCGCGAAGGAAAGGGAGGGAGGGGAGCACAGGGGCTGGAGAAAGCAACCTCCACTGCTCTCTTCCTCAGCCTTGGGAGGTGGCCGGAACCCAGGACTCACCTTCCCTGAACCCGCGAGCTGGAAGCCGCGCCCAACTGGTTGCGATCGGGCCAGCAAGGAGCCCCCGGAGCAGCCGTCTACAGGTGTACACGAGCACATTGAGGGCCGCCATCTTGAAAAACAAACGGTGACCTCTTGTGCACTTCCGCTTCCGGAACGGCCTGTGCGCAGCCGCAATGGTGAGCAGGAAGTGTGAGGTTATGGGCTTCACGCTCCGATGCTCTTGCGCTTCCATTTCCCTAGTCTGTCCCGTTAGGGTTAAACCTAGAGATCTCTGTGTTAAGCCCGTGTTTTGTTCTGAGGGTCTAGCGCAGGTGTACTAGCTCCGGTCTGCCAGTCCTCCGAGTGTGTCAGGTTGCTTTCGTTCCCTCACAGGCTTCCTTTGTAAAAATCACATACACCACCCCTATTTACTTAATAGCGTTTTCTTCGACTCAAATACGGATTTTCTGCTTCTTGTGGCTAAGGCTAGACCTGTACAGTAGAGCTTGAAATTGTTGGGACTCTGGTTCTTGAACGTCAGGTATCAGGCCGACCTGGCATAGAATTAATGCATACCTTCTCCACCCATCTCCTTTTCCCCACCCTGGAATACGCACTTGTCTTTAATTCTCCTATACCTAACACTTCCCTTTGGCCCCAGGGCCTTCGCATAGCTATTTCCTCTACCTGCTCTTTGGCCATCTGCTAAACTACTACTTACTTCTCAGAGCTCAGCTCAAAATTCACTTCCACAATAGAGTCTTCCTTAACTTCGCTGTTACTGGCTCTCAGGGCCAGATAACTCTCCATTTTAGTACTTGGCATAATGGCGTTTTACATCTATTTGTATTTTTGTCTCTCCACCAGGCTGTAAACTCTGTGAAGGCAAGGATAGTTTTTTTTTGTTGTTGTTAACTTTTATCTCCAGCAATTAATACTCTGCTGACACTTATATGTCACTTAAGTGCAGTATATAGTTGTTGAATGAGTGGAATCTACTAATAGGGTTGTTGGGAAGATTAGATAAGACTTAAGTGCTCAATAAACAAAAGCTAATTAATAAGGCAATTACTGAGACGGCCCTTGTGCTAGGTACTTGTCATAAGTTTGATGTACTTTCATAATGAGAGGCTTGTAGTACTAAAAAGAAAACACAACTTTCCTCTTTTGGATTTGCGGAATATATAGGATGCTCCCCTAGATCTATATAAGAAACATACACAGCTCAATTCTTCCACCTTCTGTAATATCCTCCATATTCTTTTCCACCCTCCATAATAAACCCGAAAGGGGATTTTTCTAGTTATCCCACTCTGATTCATAGATGGAAAAATCAGGCTCATTAAATGGCAGAGTATTAAATGTTTCCTGATAAAGGGGAGGGAAAGAGTCCCATCTTCCAGTTGGGACTGCAGAACAGCTGCTCCATGGGGAGCTTGAGTGATATCACCATAGACAAAGAGGACAGTAGAAATATGGCTTGGGTTACCATAAAACATCACATTCAGCAAAGGCAGATCCTGGAGAAAAAGATCAGTCTGGGTGAATGAGACAGACATGTGAATTAGGAGTGGAGGAGAGGGTTTTGGTGGGATATTTTTCAAGATGTCCTGGCGAAGATCAGGAAAACCTTGGCTTTCTCTATAGCTACCACTTTCCTTCTGTATGATGACATTGAGCCCTTCCTGCTTGTACCACATCCCCTATTTCTTTACAAGTCCCCAGCTTCTGGTGATCCAGTAGCAACAAGGGCAATAAGAGAGCCCCTACCCAGAGCTTATTTTTGGACACAGTGAGCTAAAGTATTTGAGTGTCAACCCTCTCTTCATTATCTTATCCTGACTTCTTATACTCAATTTTTATTTTAAGAAACAACTTGTATTTTGGGGTGCCTGGGTGGCTCAGAGTTAATTAAAGCCTCTGCCTTCAGCTCAGGTCACGATCCAAGAGTCCTGGGATCGAGCCTGGCATCGGGCTCTCTGATCAGCAGGGAGCCTTCTTCCCCCCACATCTCTCTGCCTACCTCTCTGCCTACTTGTGATCTCTGTCTGTCAAATAAATAAATAAAATCTTAAAAAAAAAGAAACAACTTGTATTTTACACAATGACAAGTAATGTCATTATTGTAGAAAAGAGAAAACAGTAAAGTAACAAGAAAACATATATCACCATTAATGCAGAGATAAACACTATTTACATTTAGCAAAATGAAATAATACTGAAATAATACTTTGCTTTTCAATATCTTAGTTTTCTGAACCTATTTATTGTTAGTTCCTACATGAAAAAAAAATTATTTGAGACCAGATTTTGCTCAGGAGACTAAAAATTTTTTAAAAATAAAGAATAACCTGTATAAGAAAGTACACAAATTATGGGGCACCTGAGTGGCTCAGTTGGTTGAGTGTCTGCCTTCGGCTCGGGTCGTGATCTCAGGGTCCTGGGATCAAGCTCCGGGTGGAGCCCTGTGTCAGGCTCCGAGTCTGCTTCTCCTTCTCCCCCTGCTCATGCTCTCTCTCTCTCAGTCAAAGAAATAAATAAAATCTAAGATTTTATTTGTACTATTTGTGCTAAGGAGTACAAGCAGCCAGAGCGAGGTGGAGAAGCAGGCTCCCTGATGAGCAGGGAGCCCGATGTGGGACTTGATCCCAGGTCCCTGAGATCATGACCTGAGCCAAAGGCAGACACTTAACCGACTGAACCACCCAAGTGCCCCCCCAAAAAAAATCTTAAAAAAAAAAAAAAGAAAGTATACAAATTATCAGTTTGTAGCTTGATGAATTTTTACACAGGGAACACACTATCCACACCACTAAGTAGAACATTAATAGCAGTTTGGAAGACGCCCTGGTGTCCCGTCCCAGACATTATTTCCTCTTCAAGGGTAATCATTATCCTAATTTTTAGCATCATAAATTATGTTTCCTTATTTGAACTTTGTATAAATAGAATCTTACAGAGCATGTACTCTTTTGTGTCTTCTTTCACCTGCTCATCAACATGTTTGTAAGATTCATCCATATTGTTATTTATACTTGCCATTTATTCGTTCCCGTTGCTATGGAATGTTCCACCGTGATTATACCTGCTGTTTCACCTTCCTCTTGTTAATAGGATTTAGATACTTTCCAGTTGGGACCACTACAAATAGCGCTGTGATGAACAATCTTCTGTATGATTTTTGTGAACACAGGAACAAGCATCCCTCAGGACTTTATCTAGAAGTGGAACTGTTGGATCATAGCGTATGCATGTACTTAGATACTAGGTAGTAGATACTGCCAAACAGTTCATTCTAGTACCATTTGTGTATAAGAGTTCTAGTTGCTCCATATAGTTATCAATATTTGATATTTTTTGTACTTTTCATCTTGACCATTCTGGTGAGTATGTCATAGGATTTCATTGTGTATTTAATTTATATTTCTTTGATGCCTAATGAAGATGAGTCATTTTTCATATGTTTATAAGCCATTTAGATATTTTCTTTTGTAAAATGTCTGTTCAAGTCTTTGGCCCATTTTATATTGGGTTGCCTGTATTTTTCTTTTCTGTTTTCTTTTCAATGAAGCAACTTAAAAAAAAAAGATTTTTATTTATTTAATTGTCAGAGAGAGAGAGAGGGAGAGAGTGGAAAGCAGGGGGAGAAGGAGGCAGAGGGAGAAGCAGGCTCCCTGCTGGGCAAAGACCCTGATTTGGAACTCCATCCCAGAACTCTGAGATCATGACCTGAGCTGAATGCAGATGCTTAACTGACTGAGCCACCCACACATCCCTTCCTGTATTTTTCTTATTGATTTGTGGAAGTTCTTTATATATTCTGGATACTTGTCCTTTGTTGGACATAACTATGGCAAATGTCATTTTCCTCTCTGAGTTGCCTTCTGTAGTATATTTTTTTGATAAGCAGTATTTTAATTTTTAAAAGATTTTTTTTATTTATTTATTTATTAGAGAGAGAGAATGAGTGAGAGAGCACGAGCAGTGGGGAGTGGCAGAGGGAGAAGCAGACTCCCTGCTGAACAGGGAGCTCAATGTGGGGCTCTATCTCAGGGCCCTGGGATCCTGGCCTAAGACAAAGGCAGACACCTAACTGACTGAGCCACCCACGCACCCCTTAAATTTTTTTAAAATTTTTAATACAGTGTAATTTATCAGTTTTTTCTTTTGTAGTTGGCATTTTTGATATTTTAAGTAGGCTCCATGCCCAACTTAGGCTTGAACTCATGACCCAGAGATCAAGAGTCACACACTATCAACTGAGCCAGTGTGTGTCCCTTTGGTTTCTTATTTAAATTTTTTTCCTCTTCAAAATCATGCAGATGTTCTGTTTTGTTTTTTTTTTTTTCCCTCAAAACTATATTGTTTTACCTTTAAATTAGATCAAAACTCACCTGGAATTGTTTTATTACATGATTTGAGATTGGGATTAAGACTCATTTTTTTTCCCATTAGCAATATTTAACTGACCTGGCACCATTTATTAAAAGCATCACACATTCCCCCATTGCATTTTATCTGGTCTAGAGCTGTCTCTGGAGTTTCTATTTGGTCTCTTTTTCTGTCCGTTAGCATTATTTTAAATGGCTGTATACTATTTCATTGTCTGAAAGTGTCATAAGTTAATCAGTCCCCAGTTGCTAGGAATCTAAGTTGCTTTTACTTTGAACGTATTTTCTAAGACCTATCTCCCTACTCCAAAAAAAGAATTTTCTATTTCATCAGTGATTCTTACATACTCTGCTACCCAGTTGGGTGTGTTGTGGAATTTTTTAAAAAAGATTTTCATTTATTTATTTATTTATTTATTTGAGAGAGAGAGAGAGAGAGAGAGCGAGCTCAAAGAGGGGTGGATGAGGAGGAAGAGGGAGGGAGAGAGAAAAATCTCAAGCACACTGTGCACTTAGCTTGGAGCCAGATGCAAGGCTCGATCCCATGACCCTGAGATCATGACCTGAGCCAGAACCAAGAATTGGATGCTTAACTGACTGAGCCATCCAGGTGCCCGTGGATTTTTTTTTTTTTTTTTTTAAGTAAAACTGTGGGGGGGGCGCCTGGGTAGCTCAGTCGTTGGGTGTCTGGCTTCGGCTCAGGTCATGGTCCCAGGGTCCTGGGATTGAGTCCCGCATCAGGCTGCCTGC